CACTATGCTTTCCATGTCACAGAATTGCCCCACACCTAAAAGATGAGTCATTTTGTCTCTTGTAAACCTAATTGCCCCGATACCAAGTATCATGTGCCCCTTGGAAGGCAAGTCCATCTCAGGAAGAAGTTCTGAGAGACTGGTGGTGGTTGCCCTGAGTCCAGTGACGGGTTGCATCTGGGAGTAACGAAAAAGCATGTGATCAACTGGTGGTATCTGCCATGAATTTTGGAAAAGGGACTGGTGGCGTCCAGTCCAATTAGCTGCAGTCCTGGCATATACCTTCCTGCTTAGTGCTGTCTGTCCAGGGATTCTACTGGACTCTTGTAGGCATATTTTCAAATGGAGGGATTCTAGGACAGCATGGGTGGGAGTTTATCAAATGGTTCTGTGTTTATGGAACTTCATCAGGGAGGATGCGTTTGCATTACTGGAGCTCATTTAGGTTTATTTGCCCATGATCACAGATGGCATGAGTGTCCTAGTAGCATAAATTATCTTCAGATAAGCAGTTTTAAGAAGTTGCTAACTTTTTAGAGCTTGTGTACAGTAAAAGTGCCTTGTTTCTGGGTAGATTCTGTTCCCTATTCTACTTTACTAAGGTTTTTGGTGGTCTGGATACAGATCTCCCCGGCAGTTCAGTGCCAGCAGCTCTGTGCCAACTTTTATCAATGTACCCACACTATCTTTAAGCATATTTTTATTTTTTGAAAAGTTGAGCATTCCAAGAGCTTAAGTTTTTGGCTAGAGTTCTGCTCCCAGGCAGATGTTGATCCAATTCTTAAGAAATAGTTATTTCATTATTATGACTCTACCCAACTGAATTGTTTTCCTATGTAGATTAACCTCTTTTTTCCCCATAAGTATTTTATGAAAGCCATTGATAGATGCCTTATAAAATTTGGATAAATTACAATAGCAAACTTGTGAAATCATAGCTAGAAATGAGCTTGGAATTCATCTTGTCAAATCCACTTAAAAAGAGAAAGAAAGAAGGGGCTTGGGCAAGAGGGAGAGAGGGAAGGCAAGCAGATGACTGTCAAGTTCATGCATCTTAGTTAGTGGTAGAGTCAACACAAGAATATTACAGATATGGTGCTCATCCCTGATGACCATCAAAATTCTGTAAAGCTGCCTGGTATGATTATTCCTATTTACAAGCACGTAAACTTAGGCTCAGACATGTAAACTGAGGCTCAGAGAGATGGTTGGTCTTCCTCAGATTCCACAATAAATGAGAGGCAGAGTTGGGTTAGGTATTTTTAGTAATAGATAAGTTTTTCTTGAGAGATGTGAACAAAAACTTTTTGAATAAAAATTTAGAGCATACCAGGATAGTATGCTCTTCATGAGGTTAGGTAGAGTTTAGAGTGAACCTATAATGATACAATCTTGGTATTTTTTGGTTTTTATTTATTTTTTTTCCAACAAGGCTTTGTAAAAAGGCTACTGAAGGAAAATGGGGGAACCAGTTGGGGTGAGTCAGGGGCGGCCACCATAGCAGGCAAGGAGACCTTAACTGAGGGAATTTGGCATCTCCAGTGTAACAGCTGAGCAAGCAGCAGTAAGTGTTGTGAGCCAAGTGTACTCCCGAGAATACAACACAGACTCACTGAATGTAAGGGCAAAGAAAGAATGTTAGAAGCAAGGAAAGAGGTGGTCAGAGACAAAGAGTGTTGCCACAGTGCCTCTAAATGTGTTGCAGCAGGTTGGTGTGTGGTGTGGTGTGTGTGTATGTGTGTATGTTGTCAAATATATTCTCAAGGACATCTGCCAATGCATATTTGTTCACAGTAGCTTGTGATTTCTGAAAGGTGTAACTTTAGCAATTACACATTTTTTTGTATCTAAAACTGTGCTAGCACATACTGGGCATTCCATAAATGTCCATTCAATGCAACAAGCAAGGAGACAAACATGATCTGAGTTGATGCACAGGGGCACTGTAGTTTAAGACACTCGGAAATCACAAACCAGGCTTTAGCACAGAGATGCTGAGGGCTGGTCCTCCATTAATTTGGTTTGATGATGGACTCTACAATATGTTCCCTTACCCATGGTGTGGGATGATTAGAAAAGTGTGGGAACACTTCAGACTCAATGATGGTGAGGCACAGTGTCATAGGCAATTACCATTATTATGTGTAAGTGGCAGACCACCCTGCATGATAGTGGATCCCCCATCTCCACTGTCCATCCCCACATTTCCAGAAAATCCACACATTAGAGATGCTATAGAGACATATGCATTGGATATGAGGGTGTAGTAGATTACCTCATAGTTTTAGTTTCTTCCAACTCTGATCTGAAGAGATGACTGTATAATAGAGATTGCTTAGATACAGTATAGTAATTTAAGGACTCATTATGCATGTGTGAAGAACTGTCAAGTGTATATTTCCATGACACTATGAAATATTAGGCCAAATCCACTCTCTCCATATCTTCACATTCACACTTCCGCATTCTTTCCCACTTCCTTCGTGCCTTGCCATCTGTTACCTGTCCGTCTCTATCCAGCCCACCTCTCACTATGACTATGTTTATCTTGTTCTGAAGTCTTTCTTAAAGGCTTGCTCCCTCTTTTTGACCAAAAAAAAAAAATGCAATCTCTTTTACATTAAAGACAAATCTTCCTTTGACCTTTCTGCCCTTTCCAATTTCCATTTGTCTCTTCAAGTATTACAATAGGTAGCTTTATCTTCTGTCTTCATTTTTGACCTTCTGCTCTTTCCACTTCATTGAATCTGAAGTTTGGGGGTCAGTAATTATCTCACCATGCCCAAATTCAAATGTCTGTTCTCAAGGCTCATCCTTTCTGAACTATCTGCTGAATGACATTAGTAGCACCCACTTCTTTCTCCCCCTCAACCTGCCTCCCTGCCAACACTGCATAATATTTTTATTCAATACCTCAGTCACGTCCTGCTGTCCTGCTTTGCAATGCATTCTCTTTCCTGGGCACTCTTTACCTCTTTCATTGGCTTCTCTCCTTCCTCTCATTTAATGTTCTGGTGCAGCTATTTCTGACATCTACTTTGCAAACCTTACACACTCCCATGGTTATAACCCCTTCTTGGTTCGATGCAGAAGCTGCTTGAATTTACATTTTCAGTCTCTACTTCTTCTCTCTTTGATTGCTCCCTCTGTAAGTCTCCCCTGGAGAGTTTATTGGCGACTGAAACATGGAGTGGTCGAAATAAACTCACCATGGCTGCCTCTTGCTTTCCCCTTCTCAACAGCCGGTTGAAAACTCTCTTGGAAAGTCCCCCAAAAGGGAGTCTTCTTTGAATCCATCTCTTCTTCACCTACCTGCTATGACATAGCACCTGCATGTCACTTGATCTTTGCACTTTGGCAGGAACTACCCTAGTACACAACTTGGTGGCTCCGACACCTGGATCAGCACATGCATCTTCAAGCTCAGGGCCATGCTACACATCTCCTCCTCCTCCATCTACATCCCACCCACTACTTGTTTAAGGGACCTGAGTGAATCCTCATCTCTTCAAAGTCTAAATTTCTCACCTGGCCCACTGGGCTCTCCGCATTCTGCCAGACTCCTTCCTCACCTCTCCCACAAGAAACCCCTGAGGGCCACCCTAGCCTGTCTGCCTCTTGCTCTACAATACCACTCTCACTTTTCCCATTGCCAAGGTCTTGTGTCCATTCCTGGGGCTGCCATAGCAAAGTGCTGCACAGTGGGTGCTTTAACATTAGAAACTTATTTGCTCACAGTTTGGAGGCCGCAAATCCAAAATCAAGGTGTAGGCACATTTGTTTCCTTCTGAGATCTGTCTCTTTGACCTGCAAATTCCTGACTTCTCCCTGTATCCTCAAGTGGGCCTTCGTCTGTAAATATGTGTCCAAATTTTCTTTTCTCATAATGCCATCAGGGGTATTAGATTAGGACTTTTCATAATGACTTCATGTTACCTTAGTTACCCCTCGAAGCCTTATCTCCACTTACAGTCACATGCTGAGGTCCCAGAGGGGTTGGACTTCAACACAATAGGTTTTTTAGTTGGGGGGTGATTTCACCCATAAGACCTTTTCACAAATGGCCATATGTCCTTTCTTCCTCTCCCTCTTTACTCCTTCTCTCTGTCTGTCCCTCGCCACCATGAGACATCGTGGATTCCCCACTTCATTGTCTTCATGGAAGTTCTCCTTGGCCCCAACTTTTGGGTTTATGTACCTGGATGCCTGCCTCCTCCTTGAGTCCTTCTGGATGGCTTCTCTTGCTCTGGCTCCACTGAGAGCAGAGGCTGTCACTTGTCCTTTACACACAACTCTTGACAGGAGAGGCACTTGTTAAGTTACCTTGAGACATCCCTCTAAGGCAGTCTAGTTCAGCCCCTCCATTGCCCTCTTGGGAAGGCTTTCCTGGGTGGGATGCAGAAGACCAGCCTTTAACTCTGTTGATGTAGAGGAGGAGGAGGGTTCAGAGTCCACGCCAGTGATATTCAGCTAGCTCACCTCCTCTCCAAATTGGAGAAATAATAATAGGATCTGGGAAGCTCTAAAAATAGCTGTGAACTCAAGGATTTTCTGCTAACACCGTTAGGAGTTTGAGAGAAAGTACCATTTCTTTGATGTAAGAGGTTGAAAATTCTATATAAAACTCATTCCCTTCCAGAGTGAGAAGCTTACCTGTCAGGAGGAGAGCTGAGCCCTTGGAGAGAAACCCATTGACTCTTGGTGGCCCTCACAAGAAGAGAGCTGGGTGTCGTGGCCTAGAATTGTGTGTTGGCTGGGCTGTGAGTGGCTTTTTGGGTGGACTCCTGTGTGAGGAACTTGCGGGTGGAAGGCCATTGTCAACTTTCTTGCCTAGAGTGTGGGAGAGCTGTTTGGAGGTCTGCTCAGGAGGGATACCCCCTTCAGTTAAAGAAATGCCACTCCCTTTTCTTCCCTTCATCCATCCTCAGTCACATCCTTCCTCTCCCTTCACCCCTTTTCTTCTCTCTCCTCTCCCTGCTCTCTGCCCCATTCACTGTCAGGAAGGGCTATGCCAGAAGGGCCCAGTCAACGTGTCATGGCAGCGGCAGAGGCTAGCAGCACCGACAACTTCCACAGTGAGTCTGGATTTCATTTCTGGGGCCAAGGCTGGGCAGAGCTGTTCCCATACTGACTGACAGCTTGCAGGCTTTGGAGAGGAACTTCCATGGGCTGAGGGCTGCTCCAACCACTTTCTGCCTCCCAAGATGGGGACATCATTTCATTTCAATGGAAGTTTCCTGCCAAAGTCATAGGTGTGCTTGGGATGTCTCATGGGGAGGTAGCATGGTCGGGTGGCGGGCCATGACCTGCTAAAATCCAATGCACAGTGGGGATGGCCGCCAGAACTCAAAGGGCTGCAGGGCTTGTGGGCAGGCCTGTGAGTCTGTGGAGGCTGGAGGTACTGCATGGATGGTGGTTTGGCTGCTTTCATGCCTTGCAAGAGGTGTGTCCTTGAGTTGTGCCTGTACTTCGGGTGCCTCCCTTTGAGGAGCTAAGATCATCCTTAACACATAGATCAGAAGGTCTGAAGACAGGAAGTCTCCCTCTGAATAACTGAGGACAATTTTTACTAGCCTATAGGACTGAGTCATATCTGCTAGCATTTGAGGGGAAATTTTTACCCTCCCTACTTTGATTTCTATGGTAATTTCTGGCAAGGTGGTGGATACACTGCAGCATTAGTTGAAGTTCCATCTGTCTTGCCTTGCTCTGAAAGCTGAATTGAATGGTTTCCTTTCATGCTTTGCCTATGGTTCTTCTCCTTGTGTTTTGTGAATGATCCACTTGGAAAAATACAGCCACAAAATTTAGCTTCCTGGCCTTAAACTCCAGCCCAAGTCCTACTTGTCATCTTAAGGTGCTTTCCCACCAGCCAGAGGCTGTTTCCAAACACTGAGGTTGTTGTTGAGTTGATTTAGAAGTGAGAAGCTTCAGCTTCTTAATATGAGATATTATCCTGATCCTGCAGGTGCCTGGGGATGCTCTTACAATTGCATTCATTTCTCTCCTGATTTAGTTAGGGAGGTAAATTAAGCATAGCCTCCCAGATTCTCTCAGGGCAGCAGTTACACAGGCTTCTCATCTTGACACTGATCCTAATAATGGCTTCCCTTTAGGAGTTCTGGGGGCTTTGTATAGCTAGACCCTATCAGAACAGGCATGTTTGCCAGCCTTGGGAGAATTTTGCAAGCAGGGTCATATGAGAGCTTAACCTCCTCTCACGTTTGTAAAATAAGTATGTGTATTTCACCCACATTAGAATCCAATTCTCAGTTTCAAGAGTTTACAAGTTTTATTTAATGTATCAGATTGGTCAAATTTGTGAATTCAATTAAACAAATAATTTATGATTTGTTTGTGCATGTGATTGTCTAAACTTAGATATTTCTGAGAGTAGAAAAGCAAGGTATTAATAATTAAATGGGGACTAAGGGCATAAATTTAGACCTTCCCTGGTAAACTGGGACATACAGACACTTCTCTATGTATCGAGCTATTCTAGATGCCAAGAATACAACTGTGAGTAAAACAGGTAAAAATCTGTGCCTCTAATAAGGGAAATAGAAGATAAAGATAAACTAAGAAACATAGTCAGTTAGAAAGTGACAGGTCTTTAGAAGAAACATAAAGCCGAGGGAATAAAAATAGGTGGCTGATGATGGTAGTAGTAGTGATAGTGGTGATTGTGGTGGTGGTGGTGTGTGTGTGAGTGTGCGTGCACAGTCACGTGTGTGTGCCATTTTTGATAGGGGTTCAAAGCAACTGAGTTGCTTCAAAAAGATGATATAATTTAGTTCACTTAATTTCTCCAAGGAGTTTTGCGGCTCAGCTAAAACTTTCTGAAGCAAATCAGATCTGAAAAGTCCAAGTCCAAATGAAGAAATATAAACTTCAGCATAACAAGAAGCAAAGTTAGGGGCCTGAGGCATTGGGAGCTTACTTTGTCTGCTTGGTGTTTAGCATGGTTTCCTGTCCCACTGGTAATGCCGAGTGGGCATCAGAAGGTGAACAAAGCTGGATTCAGTCATTTGTACAAAGTGTCTCCATCTGTGGCCCACACTGGCCATTCAGGATATCTTCAGGTCCTTCCTTCTTTCATCCTTGAGGATGGTGTGTCCTTGGGGGTGGAGATGACCTCTTATATTTCCCGAGCAACCACTCCTATCACTTTGCTAGAGGCTTTGAGTAGTGTAATTAATTTAATCTACACTGTTACCATGGAGAAGTTATCCTACTTCCACTTTAAGGATGAGAGCACTGATGTTTAAACACAAAACTAGAAGGTAGTGGAGGCAAGATTTAAATCCAGTTTGACTCAAGTTGGTAATCCTGCCTTTATGAGCTAGTCTCAGCATCTGTTCCTAAGCAGCGATTCGCAGGACATGGGGAAGGAAAATAGAGGTAGGACTTCCAGCATTACCCCGAGGTCCTGTGTATGGGCTCATCTGCATGGCTGGATCAAGGGCAGAAGGTATGTTGGGGTGATTGTCCATGTCTTTGCTGACTGTGCATGAAGACAGTGATTTCTGCCGCTTCAAAGTGTCATTGCCACTGGGAATGGGGATGGGCATGGCAAATCTTTTGGGCATGAGAATAAGTCTTCTGTGGTAGTGTCTGTCTAAAGCAGAGCTGGAAGGAGGGCCACTGCATGGTATGTGTGTCCCAATAACGGGGGTGGGGTGAATGCATGCAAAGTTCTGAGATTGGACAAAGGATTTTTGACAGGGTTTTGAGTGAAGAGGTGAATTTGAAGATAATTCCAAATTCTTGTCTACCTTTATGAATGGAATCCACTGACTGACCTCATCCATTCTTGGGATGCTATTAGCAAGAAGCAAGCAGGATGTCTCTGGATCACATCTCAGATATCAGGGTTATATTTAACATCAATATTACTGTGTAACTTTATATTTATTTGTGGTGCACTTTCATATATTTCCCAGAAAAAAGTAGGTAACATTTTGTTTTATACATAAGGCAGGGTCCTAAGAAGGTTAGTAGCAAGGAAATCACCAGTTAGATGCACAAGACAGACCTGCTACAACAAAGTAAAAAATTATTTTGGGATGTAAATATTTTCCCATTTTTCTAAAGGGGGATCTTCCCACATGCATTGCTATTATTTCCTTGGGCTTCTAGCATATGTTTATTCCAGGTCTCAGTGAAGATCAAGGCAGTGTCTTGTTCAGTTTCACAATAAGTGCCATATAGATAGAGAAAAGTTATTACCCCTGTTATTTGTCAAGGATTTTGTTTACCATCACAATGCCAACATCACAGGAAGATCCTGGTGGCACTTGAATACTCCTCACTGTGGTCTTCTTACTATTGGATTATGAGTACCTTATCAAAGACTGTTCTTTAGTTTATGGACTATTGCCTAGTTTCTCCCTTCACTGTAATACTCAAGGGCTAAGGAGCAAATTTTCATTGTCTTCCTCCATGGGACATGCCTCTCTGACTTTTCTTTCTGAATCTTCTCCCTGATAAAAGCTAACAAGTGAAGTAATTTTCTTTTCTCCTCAAATCCTAAGCCATCCTATCATCAGCTGGCTTCTCTATTCTGCATCTGTATGCTCTGTAGAGCCCCAGTTGGGAAGAGGGGTAAAAATTAGAAATGTCTGGGTATATTTCTAGCTGACAAGAATGTTCCTTCTTTTTCTGGTTACCTATGGCCAACTCTGCCACTAGCACATACAGGGGATGATTAATTCTAGGAAGGATTTAGTTCCAGCTAGAAAGACCATGCTCAAGCTTTAGACACAAGTCTAATAGGACATTGTCACAGGTATGCTTCAGTCCAGCAGCCTTCAGTCCTTCAGTCCAGATCTTATCATAGGCTCTTCCTTTATATCAGTAAGCTGGGAGCATGGTGGGGCATGGTGTCTCCCCACCCAAGCAAATCCAGTTTTTCAAAGGAAACTGAAAACACATACCTGTCTCTGCATGGCAAAGACATGAGGAATGTTTGGAATAAGCTTTGTTTGCCCTTCTCCACGTGAATGTTGTTTTTGGCTATCATTGATATTGTGAGGTTGGACTGAGTGCCATGAAGTTGTCTCTAAGCTAGAGAGCATTCTAAAACTTTGATGGAGTGAAACACCAACATTGTTCACAGCTCTGAAATTATGGGATAGGGTTGTTCGGCTTTTCAAAATTGCTATCTCAAATCTTGTGATTTGAGATAGTTAAGATTGGTCTTTTGGAGAAAACTAATACATTCTTCTGGATGAGATGCCTCTTAATTTATGTGGTATCTCAAGTCTTTGTAAATTCAAGATTAGTTGTGTATGGCCAGGACCACTCCTTTGGGTTTAACCTAGAGATTTATCCAAGATAAGAACTCTGTTCATTACAAGGTATTTAACCTTTGAGCTCCTAGCTCACTTAGTATTTTGTTCTCTGCTGATCTGAACAGTGTTTTGGAGCAGAGCAGGCCCTTTCATCACAACAATAAGGGTTGCCTTGATTGGGTTGGCATTCAGGTCTTTACACGAAGGAGCAGAGGGAACCATAGGGAAGATGACAGAGGAGGGGAGGCAATCTTCTGCCTATTTCAGTCAAGACTGCCCCAAGGAAAGTTGCCTTGGCCTTAGGATTGAATTCTACACTCCTTTATCTGCATTTTAATCTTCAAAGTTGGTCAAATCCATTTGCTTCAGCATTTGTTTTGGGACAAAGATTCCTGGTAAATCCATATGTTTGGAAGAATTGTGTGCCAACCTCCTGTCTGAAAATGCTGGTAGGGATGATACGAATTTCACTGTCTCCAGGCTGGTGTTTACCTTTCTTGAGCATTAGTTCATCCCTCAGGTTTTTATTGCTCCCTCCCTTCCCGCCACTGTGGCTAGCCCTAATGGAAGGTAAATGTCTGCTGTGGTCTCCAGCCCAATGTGTCTGGGCGAAAAAGCATATCACTAGGGCTGATGCAGCCATACAAGGAGAACTGTCAATGCAGATGCTGGCATCAGAGCCACATGCTGTGAACTGTGTCCCGTGATGCTTTGTGACAGGTGAAGTCTTGGCATGTGGGTGTTGCCATGCAGGAGGGGAGGGAAAAATGTCCATTGCGATT